GCAGGATGAGGACGTTAAGGTTTGAAAAGTCATAAGATGGCAACCACTTTAATGAGAACAATAATTTTTTTATTCTCAGCAGCTACAACATTTGGTAATATATAATATAAAATTTAATTTTTGAAAAACGTTTTTAAAAACAAGAAAATTTAATATTTTAAAATTATATGTAAATGCACTATCTCGCCCCACCCGTGGCGTAAGACGGGAATATTACTTTTATATACAAGAAGGAGAAATTAAAATGGTTAAACTGTCGTTTTCTTCAATATTGGCACAAGAACAATATGCCCATTTGTCACAGCGGCTACATTTTTTATTATTTTCNGATCGAAATACATTACGATCGTTTTTAAAATTATTATTTTATCTATCCGAAAAAATGATATAGAATTATCAATGACAATGAATTTAAAACTAGTTCACTGCACTATATTGCAGTGCTTCTAGTCGGCGGCAGAATTCGTGACCAACCTTGAGAAGATGGGGTACCCCGTCTTGTCCTCACCATCTTGCCCAAACGTGCACTTTTTATACTGACTGCAAACACGGGTCGACTTTATTTCAAAACTAAACAATTTCGGTCTTAAAGGTTACTTCGAATACCGCAATACCTTCGTCTAAAAGGTAATGTAAAAGTTCGCAATAATACTTATTTTATAGAAACTTTGTAGCGGGCGTAAAATTAGATGAAGTATTGGCGAAACGTGGAAAACTGTCTTACTTCCAGAGAGAGCGATTCGGTCGTTCTCTCGTCCCGTCATCCTTTTTAAACAGTGGCGTAGCGTAGTGGGGCGGCAAAATTTCACAATAAATAGTAATAATATCTTGTAAAAATTTGAACCATTTCATTTCATATTTTTGTCGCACCTACGATTCGGACCGATTGAAATGAGCACGGAATTTTTCATTACTTATTTTGTGACGAAACTGAATTTTAGTCTTTAAATTGAGATACCTAAATAGGGGGGAATTTTCCTCCGTCCCGGGCGGCTGACACCCACGCTACGCCACTGCTTTTGAAGTTGACATTTAGTTCCCCAAATAAGAGCTAGATGAAAGCGCGTTAACCACGAATAAACAGACGTCCCCGTCTTACCCCATGGCTCCATCTTGCACCACCTTTCCCTATATATTGCTTGTATGAATAAATCGAATACTGTATAGCAAAATGAAAACAAAATACTTTTATGACATAGGCCTATACAATACGTAATTATTGGGCTGCAATTTGAAATTAAATAAATTAAAAATTGCAGACTGGCATTCTGACGATGTCAAAATAAAGAATTGCTCTTTATAAATTTTATTTTTATAACAGATATTAATTTTCCAGAAAATAAAGACAATGACCGGGAGTTGAAAATGAATCTTCCGTCTATGTCCTTATTATCAGTTCTGTGGAACATTGTATTTTCTCAACGTGACAAGCAATACCACAATTCACACATGGGAATATGTACGTCATTAATTAATATTTTATTGGGTAATTTGACTGTTATAAATACATGNGTCAAAGCAGAAGAGACTGTTTATGATAGTAAAGATAGCTCTTAGTATGTTACATGGTTGACATAAAATTTTTCTTAACTGCTGTTAACTTTATACAGTTGATATAAAATATTTTACTACAGAATTTGGTTCATAATCTTTTTTTTTCTGAATTTGCCTCCTTTAAAATTGGGTGCGTCTTATACGGCGAAAAATACGGTAATATCTTGTAAAAATTTGAACCATTTCATTTCATATTTTTGTCAAACCTACGATTCGGACCGATTGAAATGAGCACGGAATTTTTCATTACTTATTCTGTGAGGAAAGTGAATTTTAGTCTTTTAAATTGAGATACCTAAATAAGGGGGCGGCGAAATTTTCCTCTGCCCCGGGCGGCTGACACCCACGCTACGCCACTGGAATACCATAATATCTTCATCTAAAAGGTAATGTAAAAGTTCGCAATGATGTTTACTTTGTAGAAACTTTGTAGCGGGCGTAAAATTAGATAAAGTATTGCCGAAACGTGGAAAACTATCTTACTTCCAAACAAAGAGAGCGATTCGGACGTTCTCCCGTCCCATACTCCCTTTGAGGTTGATATTTAGTTCCCCAAATAACAGCTACATGAAAGTGCGTTAACCACGAATAAACAGACGTCCCCGTCTTACCCATGGCCCCATCTTGCACCACCTTCCCCTATATATTGCTTGTATGAATAAATCGAATATAGCAAAATGAAAACAAAATACTTTTATGATATATACAATAGGTAGTTATTGGGCTGGAATTTGAAATTAAATAAATTAAAAATTGCAGACTGGCATTCTGACGATATCAAAATAAAAAATTGCTCTTTATAATTTTTATTTTTGTAACAGATATTAATTTTCCAGAAAATAAAGACAGTGACCGGGAGCTGAAAATGAATCTTCCTTCTATGTCCTTATTATCAGTTTTGTGGAATATTGTATTTTCTCAACGTGACAAGCAATACCACAATTCACACATGGGAATATGTACGTCATTAATTAATATTTTATTGGGTAATTTGACTGTTATAAATACATGAAATATTTTTTCGTATCTTTCCAGTAAACTTAAATGTATTTACTGGACTCTCTGCGCTATATCCAAACGAGAAAGTTGCCTGTATGAACATATTTGGATATAAATTAATTTTTTTCTTACATCCAGAATCTGCAAAGGTAATAAAACATGAGTAGTTATGTAATATATTCATTACAAATGAAAATATACAATATTACGTTTTGTAGGAAGTGTTAAGAAGCAACAGTTTAATCAATAAGGATTCTACTTATGATTTCTTAAAGCCAATTCTCGGAGACAACAGTCTTCTGTACAGGTAATGCATTATTTGATATTTAGTTTAAATATTATTGTTTACAGTTTTCTGAATTTAATTAAGTTCTGAAGATAATTGGAGAAGAAGAAGAAAATATTTAGCTCCATATTTTCATCTTTGGAATCTAAAAGACTATCAAAATGTATTTATGGAGCATTCAAACGTCTTAGTCGAAAAACTCAAACAATTGCAGGAAAATAAAATATTCAATGTCCTGGAATGGATGAAATATTGCACACTCGATATAATTGCAGGTATTACTTATCTAATGTAAAATATTTAATTAAGAATTATAAATATCAATTTACTTTTATGTAGACATAGCAGTAGGAGTTTCTCTACATTCTCAGACAACGAACGATCGAGAATATGTATCTGCAATACACAGGTATGGAAAATTCAGTTCCAGATATATTTCTTCATTTTTCAAATATTTACAAATGTAATAATTATATTAAATAATATAATGTTAGTATTTATAATGTTCGAGTCAACTTCAGTAAAAGAAACATGAAACATTCTAAATTTTGATTGTTGATCAATTAATCGAATATTAAAAGTTTGTAAATTATAAATGAATTGTTATTGCTATACGTGCTGATCATAATAGAGTTGTTAAAACATTGTGTAGGAGGAGGTATGAAAGAAATCACGTTTCTGAACGAATAGAATGTGTTCATTAAGTATGTATTAAAGATTTTCAAATTAATTTAATTATCAGTTATAATGTTTTAAAAGTAAACTTCGCGTATTTCGTACATGTATATTTATTATCCAAGCTCAAATTTGCATTAATTATCTTTTGATATAATAATAATTTACATTAAAATTTAGAATTGTGAAATGTTTTCCTGTATGGTTAGTAAATCCATTGTACTGGTTTTTTCCAATTTTCTTCATGAGTAAAACGGGGAAAAATTACAAAAAAGACATTGAAATAATTCATCGTTTCGACGAAAAGGTAAACTCAACTAGTAAATAGAATTTTGTGTTTTGATTTAAGTAATGAATGATTTAATTTAATGTGTAGCTGTTTAAGAGAAGAAAAGAAAATTTGGTGAAAAAAATGCAGCAGCAACATTCCTTAGACAAAGAGACACATAATGAAGAAGAACCAAAGATGAAAACAAAACAGCGTATTATCGATTCCCTGTTGGATCTTCATGTCAAACAAGGTTTAATATCGGAAGAAGACGTTATCAGAGATATGGGAGCTACTATTTTCGCGGTAGGCATAATTTACTAAAGGTATGATCGGGAATAATTATAAAATCTTGCATTTCAATATTATTTTTATTATGCTGAACTAATATAATGTTATCTAAACAACGTATCGAAATATAAGTAATTTCACAAAGAGTTAACGCAGCGACAAAAATTATAATTAAAGTATAACGTAAAACCTATTTCAAGAATAATCATAATTACTTTCTTGTAATTGACAACACTACGTCTTGTTTATAAAATCGCATTGTCTGTTGTCTTACCGGCATAGAGGTTGAAGGAGTATACATGTCAGGAGTTGTAATTTGGCACAGAGTATTAAATGCCCAAATCATGCGCCCTTAAAAACAGTTGACTTGTAGGCAACGCTTTTATTGTCATAGAACGCAATGGAACGGCGTTCAACCACCTCTTTAAAATATATTTTATAAGTTTTAACAGCATTTTTGAAAATTTGATGTTTGGTCCGCGGTGAATCGCTCTGTTGAGCATAGAAGATCGGCAACAAAATTATTAAAACGGTCCCGCTCCTGCTTGCGTGCCAAATCTTGTGTACGATGCATGTAATATATTCTTAGAAATCTAATGAGCGTTTCACCATGCTTGTTTCATAAAAAAAGCTCTGCTTGTAAGTACTTCTGAAACCGAGAACAGAGTCAAAATAATATTCAAAATGGCGACACTCTCTACAAACAGGCAGTAATGCGAGATTTGCGCATATGTTGCTCGTTGGAAAATTGGAAACACAAATAATGTGAAATCGAATTTTGACAAATGAATCTTTGAAAAGACCCATTTAGCTCTTTCGTGTTATTCCCCACACATTTCTGGTTGTCACGTGCTGANTACATGTATATTTATTATCCAAGCTCAAATTTGCATTAATTATCTTTTGATATAATTTATATTAAAATTTAGAATTTTGAAATATTTTTCTGAATGGCTACTAAATCCAATGTACTGGCTTTCCCCAATTTTCTCCATGAGTAAAATGGGAAAAAATTACAAGAGAGACGTTGAAATAATTCGTCATTTCGATAAAAAGGTAAACTGAACTTGTGAATGGAATTTTATCTTTTGATATATTTAAGAAATTAATGATTTAATTTAATGCGTAGGTTTTCAAGAGAAAAAAAGAGAAGGAAATGCAAGTGCAATATTCCTTAAAGAAAGAAACACGATATGAAGAGGAACCAAAGATGAAAATAAAACAGCGTATTATAGATGCATTGTTGGATCTTAATGTCAAACATGGTTTAATGTCGGAAGAAGACGTTATCAGAGATATGGAAGGCATTATTTTTGCGGTAGGCATAATTTACTGAAGGTCTGATAGGAAATAATTATATAATCGTTGTGAAATAATTACATTTCATTCGTTTGCAAAGGCTTTAATTTTACATTTCTTTTCAATGTATTTTAATATCAGGGTTACGATACAACCGCCCACACTGTCATGGACTCTTTATTTCTTGGGGAGATTCCACGAAATACAAGAAAAACTGTATCTTGAATTGCAAGAAATTTTCAAAAATGATATTAATAGGGATATTACTATCGATGATCTGACGAAAATGACGTATTTAGAATGCGTAATTAAGGTAACTTTTTAAATTTCTTTAAATACACTCAAGGATTACTTTCATACATTACAATTTTCAGGAGTCGATGAGAATCTATCCTTCTTTTCCTTTTATTGCAAGACAAAATCCTTCGGAAATGAAAATAGGTAAATTTTTGATATCTTGCAACTTGTTGTTAAATAATAATATTTTATATTTGTTATTGACTTGAAGCATTAAATCGTTGTCATTGAAATAGGTAATTACGTGTTACCTGCAAATTCGACTCTTCTCATAAGTATCTATGGCATCCATCATAATCCTTCTGTTTACGAAAATCCCGAAGTGTTCGATCCGGATCGTTTCCTACCTGAAAACTATAAAAATCTTCATACTTTTGCATTTTTGCCATTTTCTGCCGATCCACGAAATTGTCTCGGTAAGTGGTTAGTGAATAAATACAAAAACGAAAGAATTATTTTATTAAAATGATTTATTTACAGGAAGTAAACTTGCCATGATTAAAATGAAAATGGTTTTGGCAAATGTTCTTCGAAATTTTAAAGTTTACTCTTTGGACCCTCAAGATAAGATCGTTACTTCTGTGGAAGCTCTTTTGACCCCAATTTCAGGTATAAGAATGTGTTTAGAAATACGATGAATGTTATATGATCTAAGATAAACGTTGGGGTAATTTTTATTATAAATATATAACTTATAATGTAGACGTGTGCATTTAGAAACTGTATCAAAATAATTCTACCCATTATTAAACTTTACTCATTAATTGTATTTCATATTTTGATACATAAAAGTGATAAGAATAGAATGTATTGTGATTACTGTTATTAAATCTGTTTTACAATAATACTATTTTTTGCTGTTTATTGCATTTTATTTATTTATCACATTGATCATTTCTCATATTTAATTTTACGTAAATTAAACTGTTGTTAACGATCTATTGTTCGTATTTACCTGTATTGTATGAATTGGGCCGAACATATATGATTCAGTTAATAATGTATTGTATACAAAATATTTGTATTTCATTTTAGTATTTTTCTGATATGCTATGAAATGAAAATTGTACAAATCCATATTTAATAAAGATATTTAAAATATTTGACTATTAATGTATACCTATTATTAACACAAATACTATGATTCTATGGCAGAGAGTTCGATAAACACTACTCGCCTTTCATATAAAATGTATACAATTGCCAAAGAAAAAGGTCCAAAAACTTAACACGATATTACATATTATAGGAGTGAAAATTGAATTCCATAAATGAAATATAATGGTGAATCAGATCCTCATAAAGGGTTTCTCACAATAAATGAAAAAGTATTTAAAAATTGTAGCAATTCTTGTAGAACGTGGTACTTATACAATTCCAGTTAGATAAGAATTTACATAAAATTGTCTGTTTATCTTATTCTACAGTCTGTTTATGGAAAGAATCAACTTGAGAGCGACGTCCATATCATACACACCATGTCCCAGAGAAATTCCTAGGGCTTTTCAGCACATCCTGATTCGATCCCAAGTCCTACAGAGTGTGGGCTATCACTTTAAATGTAGACCGGATGGCCGAGCGGTTAAATCTTATAAATTAATTTTTGAAAACATTTATAAGAATTCTTTGTAAAGCATTACTATTTTTCGATATACAATTAATTATCGAAAACAAAACATCCCATTAAAAAGTTAATTTGCAATTGTAATGCTTTTAGCACAATTGTAAATGTAATTACTGCTATTTGATAAAATGTAATTACCTATATATCTATATAAATAATTTCTTCTGTAATTTATAAAACATATTAGTAACAATACACAGCGGTCGTTTCAAACAATTGTAACTTCGAAAAAAATTTTATTTTATAACATACACATTAATAAAATTATATTTAAAACACGAAAGTTTGAAAAAATAATGACTGATCAGTTTTTCAATCATATAAAATTAGTTAATATAAGAAAAACATAAAAGCTGACCCAAAAATCGATTAACCATATTAAAATGCCCGTGTCAATAGCATTTTTTCTCTTGTTCTCTCCTAGTTTCAATAAATATTCCTAGTCATAACAGGTGCAAATCTGTTTCGAAGTTCCAGTACAACGTCCTCTTTTACGATTGACGCTTCGACAATGTATATAGCATCTTATTTCAATAGACGGACAGCCAAATTCAGTTTCCAACGACGTAACCTCTATTACCAAAATATACAGAGGATTGATATTGTAATTAATATATAAAAATAAATCATTTGAATTTAAATTTAAAAACAGTTCTATATAAAGAATAATATAAGAAATTAAGTAAAGAGAAATTAGGTAAAATATTAATCATGACATATTTACTTACCCAAAGTACAAAACACATAGGCTAACAAGAGAAGTACGACAATGACTTTCATATTTTTGTTTCCTTTCAACGCTTTATATAATAATTATATAAAACGAATGATTTTGTTCCGTGAATATCTACAGAAGATTATTAGAAAACGTGTAAACTTTGTACAACAAGGCAAAGTCAGAAGGACAATGCTTACAATCTACTGGTGATGCTCTAAATGATTTCTACTGAAGCCAGTGGGATATTGATTTTGAAATTTTAATTTAAAAATCAATATCAAATTTTATGATCTTAGTTCGTTCACGGAACGGGAGTGGATGTAGATAGCTTATCTCATACAACATCTGTTTCTTTTTTGTTTTTAATACATGCTACGAAAATTTTTAACGGATGTTCTAGATTTAAAGATAGTCTACATTCTTTTAAAATATGTAAATATAATTGAATAAAGTATTTTAAGAAATACAGTAGAACGTCGTTTATCCGAAAGTCTGTTATCCGAAAGAATTCCAGTCGGCCTAAAGTACAATTTTTATTTATTTTTATATTTTTCAATGTATTTATTTCGTTTGTAAAACATAAAGAAATCATTTTTAACGATTTAATAGCCACGATTATTATTTTAAAAAGTTTACGTTAGGCTTAACATCGACAAAAATTCAACGCGAAGCGACACTCAACGGAGAAAAATTTCAACACCGGTAGGTTAATATATTTTTTGCACACAATCGGTTATCCGAAAAATAAGTTATCCGAACAACCCCAGTCCCCAATTGATTCGGATAAACGACGCTCTACTGTATGTATAATAGGCTATATATGAATGTATGAATGTTGGTGGATCATTATGCATATAATTTGTTTCATTCGCATCATGGATTTGGTAAAGCAATAGATAGAATCGATATATTTTGGGCAAATTATCTTTGAAAATTTGAGGTTCCAATCGTATTTGAATACATACAAATAGGGTAGTTGCACCAGTGAATGACCGGCTACAGTGAACGACCATATTGTCAGAAATTTGTTTAAAATAAGCATCATGGCAAGAAAAACTAATCAGAAGCGCTGAATTACTGAAAAGCAACTCCATTTTGAAATATTCTCTTTCATTGGGCATTCAGAAACGTGTGATAACGTTTGAAATATGGCAACTTTCTTGAGATATGTCTGTAAGGTGTAATCTTGCTTTCATTGTAATAAGGTAAGAATTGTGGCAAGGATTCATATAGCAGCATTTTAAAATAATTATTTATTAGTTTTCTTAATTAAGTATTGTGTAAAGAAATAGTTTTGTAGACATTTAAGGTACGGTTTTAGTACAAAAATTAATTCTAACCTTTAAAAGTGTGTAGATAGGGGGGGGGGTTTAGTCACTCACTTCATCTGAAAAGTGATCCTTCTCCAGCGAAGGAACACTTCGGTCATTTAATGGTGATAAAGCAATACGCGTTATTTTCATTTCTGAGTACAAAATTCAAAATCTGTGAATGTTGTTTCATATTAATGGATGAGTGAATGACCAAAAAACTAACTTGTACCAGTAAATGACCATGGCTCAATGCTATGTGGTCATTTATTGCTGCACATTAAAATGGTTTGAGACGAATAATTAAAGACATTCGAATTTATTTTTATTCAGATAAATTCAAAATGGAAGATGAAATAAATAAAAAGAAGAAAGTTTACAGACATTTTCTATATAGTGAAGAAGATTTGTATGCAGCTGTAGCAGCAGTATGCGAAAATAAAATGAGTGCTAATAAGGCTAACAATAAATTTAACATTCTAAAAGAAACTTTAATAAATAAATTACATGGAAAGGTACCATGGAGCGAAAAATAGGCTCTGCAGCAACATTAACTAAAGCAGAGGAAGACAGGTTGAAAAAATGGATTATTGGGAAAGACAAATTGAGTTTTCACGTGCATCCTGATGAAGTAAAAGACGCAGTTCAGAAAGTTATAATAAAAGATATGGAACGAAAGAATCCATTTAATGATGATTACCCAGGAAAAAAATGGCTAAAACTTTTATAAAAAGGCACCTTAATGTAGCAGCAAAGAATACAGAAGTGATATCCAAGGCTCGAGCAGCAGTTTCTGAAGAGATGATAAGGAATTGGTTTCAAGAATTAATTATTTGAGAAAAGAACATACATGTGATATTCTGCAAAATCCTTTCCATATTTTCAAAGCAGATGAAACAGGGATGTCATTTTGTCCACAAACTGGCAAACTTCTGGTACTTAAAGCATATAAGGACTTTTACAAGAAAAACAGCGTATCACAGTTTTCTGTAATTTTTCTGCAAATGGCCAGTTAGTGGATCCTATCATAGTGTTCCCATACGAGAGAATTCCAAGGCATATTGCAAATTCAGTTCCACATGCCTTTGCTGTATTCAGAAGTGATCCAGGACGGATGATATGTGCCACATTTTATGAATATATTGCAAACGGCTTCTGGATAACAATATCTACTTTCCTGTATTATTGCTTTTTGATGGACATAAACCCATTTAAATTAAAAACTGTATAATTTTTGTGTTGAGAAAAATATTCTCAGTTTTTGTTTGTTGCCAAATGCAACTCATATTATCCTGCCGTGTGATGTTGCAATTTTTTCAACCGTTTAAATCTCAGTGGAGAAATGCTGTCAGAAAACACAAGCAACAATCATCAAAATCGGTTTCTAAAACTAACTTTGCTGCTTTATTCTTTAAAGCTTACAAGAAAGCTTTGAAATCGGAAAAAATTCAACATGGGTTTGTTTCCACTTAATTCAAATAGAGTGGATTATTCAAAATGTATTTCTACTAGACGTAAGAAATTATTTTCCGAAAATGAACATGATTTATCAATTAATTATAGAGAACCATATAAATGTGCACTGCAAATGATTAAAAAAATGAGATTCTACTTAATTTGTTATTAGATTTCAACAAAACCATTGCAACAATCAAGTAAATTTAGAAAATTATTATTGCAATATTGCCAATCTATGAAACACATTTTTCTATGAATTATCAAACTGATCATTTTTATAACATTGTATATATGATAATTTTTAATTAAAGATTTCTTTTCCTAAAAATTAATATTTTTATTCCAATTTCTTAATCTGAAATTACATGACTAAATTACATAAAATTCCCAACACATTAATAGTATACAAAGATATAAATTACATATAGCACCCTAAAACTCTAGTTATTCATTATTAATCACTTGCGGACATTCACTAACCCTCAGCTGGTCAACTACTAGAGCCATATGGTCATTCACTGGGGATTTTTAAATTTTCAAAACATCATCTCATTAATTTAATCAATATTACAAAAAATTAAAAATTCATTCTTTGAATGAGTAGTGCGAGTTCTTGGTAACCAGCAGTGACCATTACTTAAGTTAAATGTCTATTTGTTAAGTGATTATATAGAAATCTCGTTATTAAGGTGCTTAACCGGTCATTCACTGGTGCAACTACCCTACTTTTCATAATATCCAAGTTTAGGTATTGAAGTGCAACGGCAAGTTCACGGCAAACACTATAATAATATACCACAAATAAACTCAAGAAACAAAAAACCGATACCAAAACATCAATGTTACAGAAAACAATCAAGACTATATCCCAATTTTCTAGAGCATTAAGATGGTGCTTTTAATGCTAAGTAGGGATTGCATTACCGGTAATCAGGTAAATAAATGTATCAATAAACATACCGGTAATTTGTTATTTTTAATGGTAAATTTGGTTGAAAAAATAGGTAGAACAGGCTTCTAATCCAGCGATTTTTTCTAAAATAGTGATCAGAAACATTAAATTTTTAAAAGCAAAGTCCAAAATAGTCCAAAATCAAATACAAAAAAATCGAAAATAGTCCAAAATCAAATACAAAAAAATGCAAAATAACCCAAAATCAAATACAAAATATCTAAAATAGTCAAAAATCATTACGAGTTGTTCACTGGACCCTATGTGTCTTCATTCTAAAAGCTATGCGAAATTTTCAAAAAAGGGTGAGGGCCCTATTTCAGCTCCTACGTGTCTTCCTGTACTCTCAAACCTAAGCAAAATTTAAATAAAAACTGCCTTTAACCCACCCGCTACATAACGTCGCCTGCAGTTTCGTAGTCTATACCAAAGGAATTGAGGTATATCATCTCAATTCCTTTGGTAAATATATACCGTCTCCATTCGCATTACAATGTTTTTCAAGAAGAGCTTACCGCTATCCATCATGCAATTCAATGGTCAACTTTCATGTATGTATATCAACCAAAGTATTACTGTCTTTACTGATAGTCAGTCTCTCATAGCAGTAAATCTCTTGCACCACCAATCCTCGAATCTTATATTCACTGAAATACATAGTATGGTAAATTCTTCCTGCAATAAGTATTACATTTTCTGGACGAAGGCATATCGGCAATGTCGGAAATGAGCGTGCCGACTTCCTTGTAAAATCGGCTGCTTCCTATCGTAGGATTGTCTTCAGCTGCTGCAATATGCCTCTCATACTTTCAATCAGCTTGTTAACTCCTACAATAATCTGACGCCGATTCCACAAATTTCCAACCATAATTAATCTTTAATTAAACAAGCTTCTCTCTGTTGACTTAACCACTAATCCGTGTATTTTAATTATTATTATGTATCGGGAAAACATTTTAATATGTACAGTACATACGCGTATTCTAAAACTATATAAACACATTTGTGTTGTCTTATTACTAATACTGTCTATAACTTACTTTATGTATCTGCCACCTGGTAA